TTGCATCCAGATTGCAAACAGATACCGTTTCTGGATTCACACAAATGATGATGTTGTAGATCTGTACATTAATTACAGGTGGTTCTAGTAAAAAAAGATAGAAAAAGTGTTTTCCTTATCAGCGGTTCAAAAAAAAAGCATTTAAGAAAATGTATTAGACAAGTATTAGTTTCTTTCACGTCAAAGTATTATTTCTGTAGTTGGCAAAATGGGAAACTTTGGAGTATAGTGGGGTTTGGAGGATTAACAGCGCTGCGTTCAACGGCTTGATAAAGTACTCCCCTCAATCCTTGGTATCAAAGTTAAAATATTATTCAATTATTGCGATATAGTTTTGCAACATCCTGACCATGTACGCTCAATTAACACTAAAACGTCATTCAAGCCACAGAATTTTGCAGTATAAGATCTACGACATCTGCCTAACATGTAGATGAGCATTTAATGATCATCTTGTGTTCCTTAGCAAGATCGGGACCTGACACCGGCAAGACACTGTGAGGAACAGTTAGGTCCGAAACGCCCACTGATGAAGGTAACCACGTAAAAAAGACTTCTGGAAACGTAAGCTTCAAAGGAGAGATGGCGGGAAAAGATTTAGAGCAGAAAAAAGAAAATATAAATAGCAGGAAAGAGCTTAAGAAAGAAAAGGAGGTAACGGGTGACCGCTACTGCACGTAGCACTGGAGGCAGGTAACTGAGGGTATGGACCGAAACCCACGTTGTGCAGCGCCTCAGAGGCCCCGGCAAAGAGTTTGCATTTGGGACACTGAAGAATAGGAAACTGCAGAAGGGTTTTAGAAACGGAGACAGTGGCTTGGCCAGAATAACAGCGTTACTAACTGACTGAAGATTTAAAAGTGGCATTTTGAGGACAGGAAGATAGGAGAAGGTTACAATAATTGAGACAAAGTGATAACCTTAGCATAGCATTTTTGCTCATAGCTTAGGAACAAAAAAAAAATCCACCCCGTATTCCTTGATTTTTAATTTTCTCTGTAACTTTTATACTTGAGATAGCACGGATTTGGTTGTCATCTTCCAAACCTTGACACATTACTTGAAGTTTGGTCTAGCATTTCTGCAATTGTTCTACTGGGCTCAGGAGAAGTCTAATTACAAATAAGAACTAACTCCCGAGTTCTGTTGCTGTTTTGCCGCTTCTCTGCAGCAGCTTTTCAGAGCTAGATGTTGTGTGGATACGCGCGTACGTCCGGTTACCGATAAACTAACACTCCGCCTGTACCCGCCCGGCGGCAGTGCGTATTACGGAGTTAACAAAGGAAGGGAGTCCCCCTACGCGGTGTTCCGGGACCCCTCAGGTGGCAGGGGCCTGCTGAGG